GGCAGGTGAATTAACGTGCACACCAGAGGGGATCATCCTGGTCTTACAGGGAGTGGTTATACAGAGCATCTTGGAGCTTATACCTGCTACTCAGCAGGCGCCCAGTCCACACTGGTCCTCACCCACCATCACCCGACTGCCTGAGCCCAGGCCAGCCTTGCCCCGGGTAGGGGAGGACTTGTGCTCAGCCTGCCGGCCTCCGGGTGAATGCATAGCTTTCTGCCTGTTGCTTTTCTGTCACCCGTGAGGCTTCCTCTGAGCTCACCCTGCTGGCCACCTTGCTCCCGCCACATGCGGACACCCTGCCGTGCACTTCCTGGGCGCCTCTGGAGTATGACCCTGCCTCGGAGAGACCCTCTCTCCCCGCCTGTTCCCACTGCCTGCCCCCAGCCCTGTCTCCCAGCGATGGCACTTAGAACCTCTCCTTTCCCAGTCAGCCCGTGAACTCTGGCTAATGCCAGTCCCAACTCTGAAGGCTCCTCCTCCATTTTGGGGGAGTAAATGTATACATTTTTAAGTAGGTTTTGTTGTTGTTGTTTGGGACGTCGTGCAGCACACCCCACACCCATGCAGCGGTCTGTACGTGCAGAATTGAGCGAAAGTGGTGACAGCCTTCCTTTCCTGAGTGGCTCCCCTCCCCCAGGACATGGGCTCACTCACTGGCCCCTTGGGCACTTATCTAACCTTTCGAGTTGCAACCCCTCTTCTTGCTCCCAGAATCCCCCACCACTGGGCTTCCAGGCGGGCATGAAGCTGGAGGCCATTGACCGCATGAACCCGTCCCTCATCTGCGTGGCCAGCGTGACCGACGTGGTGGACGGCCGCTTTCTGGTGCACTTTGACAACTGGGACGACACTTACGACTACTGGTAGTCAGTGGGTCCCCGCCTTGAGCTGGGTGGGGGCTGAGGGTGGTGGGGGTGGGGACAGCACCCTTCAGAGGGCAGACACCTGTGGCCCAGTCTTGCCTTTCAGATCTCACTTTGGGCCAGGGGAGGTGGGGCGTCACTGGCTGTCTCACGAATTTGATCGATAGCATTAGAAACGCAGCTTACTATTTACATGCTTCATCTAGAAACAGCAAGGCGGAGGTGAGCAGCACCCCCACAGGTAACGCCACTTTAGTGCAGCTTTCCCCTCAGGTTAAGGCTCGCCCAGAAGGAGGATGAGGGGGGCCCTGAAGCCATGCTGCCCGAGGCTGGTGGCCCGGCCACAGTGTCACCTTGGGTCCTGTGGTCTTCTTGGGTTTCAGGTGTGATGCCAGCAGCCCTTACATCCACCCGGTGGGCTGGTGCCAGAAACAAGGAAAGCCCCTCACCCCTCCACAAGGTGACCCTACAGCCTGAGCAGACGCCTTGGCCAGGCCCCTGCACCTCTTGCCCCGATCCTCCATCAACACTTCGTTCCTTGGGGCTTCCAGTTAGGATGAGGGGACAGGCAGGTCCTGGAGCCTCCACTTCCTGGCCTGGGAGTAGAGAACCCTTTATACTTTGGGGGTTATTTTAGAAGAACCCTCCTCAAACCCTGGCCCCACTGAGGTTTAGGGGGAAAAAGTTAGCTGACCATTTCAGCAAGGAAGCTGGGAGCCCAAAGCTAAGGAGTAGAATCCTGGGGCTCAGGTAGATGGGCTGGGCTGGGAGCCACTGGCCCAGAAGGAAATGGGATCCAGGGTTCCAGTCTGCCCTGCGAGTGAAGTCTGGTTAGTGCCCATCAGGACCCTGTGGTGATGGTGCAGGGGGCAGGTGCCCCAAGGACCACTGCCCTTTGCTCCTGGTCTTGGAAGCCAAGAGCTCCCTTAGCCTCACTGGGTGGTCTCACCCCTTTCCCTAGACTACCCGGACCCTGATAGCTTCTCCTGGGAGAAATATCTGGAAGAAACCGGGACCTCCGCTGTGCCCACCTGGGCCTTCAGAGTGGTGAGTCAGCTCTCTCTGCCCCTAAAGTTGTGCTCAGAAGGACGGCGCATGGAGACAGCCAAGAGGGGACCCTGCCTTCCTCTTGGGCCAGGCCGCGTTTCCCTCAGAACACTTGCAGCCTCCCGCCCCCACTATCCACCCCCACCCTCTGGATCTCAACCTTGGCCTGAAGCCCCCTGTCCCCTCCACAGCGACCTCCCCACAACTTCCTGGTCAACATGAAGCTGGAGGCTGTGGACCGCAGAAACCCAGCCCTGATCCGTGTGGCCAGCGTGGAGGATGTGGAGGATCACCGGATCAAGGTGGTCTTAGAGCCCTGGGCAGGGGTGTGGACAGCCCACTGCTTGGGAAGGAGGCTTGGGAAGTGCTCAGAGCTGAAAGGCTAGTGGCAGACAGGAGGGCGGCCATGCATCGTGGGGAAGATTGCTTCGTTTTTATTTCACTTACTTACTTTTTGCTAAACTTCCAGGTTTTATTAAAATAATGACGTGAAGCATTAACGAATCAGTATTACATTATTATCCAAAACCACCCTTCATTATGCGAGAACATTGTAAACATCTGGCACCTGTGTCACTGCCTCCAACTCCTTCCAAGGTTTCCAGCCTCTGTTCCAGCTAGAATCCGTAGTCTGTTTGATTCTCCATGCCGCACCTGGCCAAAAAATTCACCAAACAAAATCCAAACTCACGGCCACCAAGTTGATTCCAACTCACAGTGGCCCTGCGGCCCTGGAGGGCAGGGTAGAACTGTCCCTTGTGGGTTTCCAGGACTGTCACTTTATGGGAGTAGAAAGACTCTTTTTCCCACAGAGGGGCTGGTGGTTTCAAACTGCTGACCTGGCAGGTGAGCAGCCCAATCTGTTTCCACTATGCCACCGGGCAGTCACGGGACATAGCTTGTGCAGCTGTGTATCAGTAAGTCTTTGGAGACTGCCTTCTGGAGGCTTCTCTCAACACGTCTGAGTCCTGTGGCCACTTTGAAACCTGGAATATTTCTATCCTCACGGGCTCTTACGCGTGCTCTGATCCGCTCCCATCCCTGCTGCTGCTACGCTTTCGGCTTTGTAGTCTTTTTATTGACATGTAGTTCATGCAGCATATTACTCAGTAGTTGTATTGAATAGAGCTGCACAGTTATCAGCACCATCAGTTCTAAAACCTTCGTGGAGGAGAGTTTAACCTGGAAGCTGAAGATCTTGGATCTTGTATTGACCCCGTCTCTGACCTACCTTTCAGGATGGAGGCCAGGCATTTCCTCTCTCTGAGTCTTAACTTTTACATCTGGAAAATGGGCTCATCACCCTTGTCCCACCCAAGGATGGCGGGAGGTGCCAGTAGTACCCTGAATGATATCTGTAGGAAGCATGGCAGCTGAGCAGGGCTATTGTGGGTGGGCCCTAGGTGGGCACAGCCTCCCGGAGCCCTGAGTGGCTACAGCTAAGCTGGGCTCCCTGAGGAGCCGCTGACCTCTGGGGGCCTTCTCTCCCCAGCTCCACTTTGACGGCTGGAGCCACGCTTACGACTTCTGGATGGACGCCGACCACCCCGACATCCACCCCGCAGGCTGGTGCTCCAAGACCGGACACCCCCTGCAGGCTCCTCTCCGTGTGTACCCCTAGGGCACGCGGGCCCTTCCCTGTCTCCCCAAGGGGTCGGCCAGTGAGGGATTGAATGTGACGGGGAAAGCTCCCTGAGAGCACGGCCTAGGAGGCAGTTAGGGACCGGGCAGTTTCCTCAGCTTCTCGCAGAGCCACGCAGCCACACAGCCACGCAGTGTGTGACTCCTGAGAGATCACGCTGGGCCTCTGCATAGCCAGGGAGCGGGGTTCACAGAACGGGACCCCTCAAACAGCTTCATGCTCAGGGCTCCCCTCAAACTCTGAGTTCCCCCGCACTCAGGGTTTCCCCACATTCATGGTTCCACTGACACTAGGGTTCCCCCACACTCAGGGCTCCCCCATACTCAGGGTCCCCCCCACACTCAGCATTCCCCCACACTCAGGGTTCCCCCACACTCAGGGCTCCCCAACATTCAGGGTCTCCCCACACTCAGGGGCCCCCACATTCAGGGTCACCCCACACCGAGGGTTCCCCTATACTCAGGGTTCTCCCACACTCAGGGCTCCCCAACATTCAGGGTCTCCCCACACTCAGGGGCCCCCACATTCAGGGTCACCCCACACCGAGGGTTCCCCTATACTCAGGGTTCCCCCACACTCAGGGCTCCCCAACATTCAGGGTCTCCCCACACTCAGGGGCCCCCACATTCAGGGTCCCCCCACATTCAGGCTACCCCACACTCAGATACCCCCACATTCAGGGCCCCCCACGTTCAGGCTCCCCCACACTCAGGGTTCCCCACATTCAGGATGCCCCACACTCAGGGTCCCCCCACATTGAGGGTTGCCCCATACTCAGGGTTCCCCCACACTCAGGGCTCCCCAACATTCAGGGTCTCCCCACACTCAGGGGTCCCCATATTCAGGGTCCCCCTCCACACTCAGGGATCCCCACATTCAGGTTCCCTCCACTCAGGGATCCCTATATTCAGGGCCCCTCCACATTCAGGCCCCCCCCTACTCAGGGTCCCTCCACACTCAGGACTCCCCCAATACTCAGGGCTTTCTCGACAAGCACCTTCCCCCCCATCCCCACCCCTGTCTCCCAGGGATGGTCATTCTCTTACTCCTCGCCTAGCCAGAACCTGGAAGAGAGTTGGCAAGATTTTAGGGCTAAAAGTGGGAAAACAGAAAATTCAGAGCAAAGGCTGAACCTGCCTGGTGTGACTTGGGTGGTGCAGCTGATCATGCCAGCTGTGGGTCACTCTCCCCGTGGAGGGTCCTCTCAGACAGGGCACGGCCCGTGAGAATCCTGCCCAAGTGCCCGGCACACAGCCAGTCGCAGGAAATGGGGCACAGCCTGGCACAGCACCCTGGACCTGCGGTCTAACTTCTGGACCAACCTGCCCTCCCTTCTCCCCACCCCAGAGCCCTCTGCTGACTCTTCGCTTCCTGCTTCTCCAGGGCCCAGAGAGCCCAGCGCGGCCTCCCCTGGAGGCTGCCCCCCTCTCAGCTCTAAGAGCCCGCCACACACTAGGACCTCCAAGCACAGCTTTCATCAGCGGTGCGTGCAGGCCCCCGGAGCCCTGCGGGGTGGTGGGCAGGAGGCTCTGTGTGGCACAGCCGTGTGCCAGCTGACCAGGCACCACAAGACCCCAACGGGAGGTGGGGGCTGGGTTCTGTGGGGACCAGTGCGCCCAGCCAGCCCTGCTGACACCGCCTCCTCCCCCAGGAAGTGCCCGACTCCTGGTTGTGATGGCTCGGGCCACGTCACAGGCAAGTTCACAGCCCACCATTGCCTCTCAGGCTGCCCGCTGGCCGAGAGGAACCAGAGCCGGCTGAAGGCGGAGCTGTCTGACTCGGAGCCCTCGGCAAGAAAGAGGAACCTGTCGGGCTTCTCCCCGAGGAAGAAGCCCCGCCATCCCGGCCGGTGCGGGAGGCGGGCAGGCAGGCAGGGGCTCAGGGCCCTGGGGTGCCCCAGGACTGGCAGGCTCTGATTCCCTGCGTGCTCCTGGTCCCTCCCTCCAGGATTGGACGTCCACCGAAGTACCGGAAGATCCCGCAGGACGACTTCCAGGGTAAGTTCCTGGCCACAAAGGGTTCACAGGGCGCGCTCGGTCCCTGCTGGGCTGAAGGCTCAGGGGACCCCAGACAAGAAGCTGGGTGAGGAGGCGGCCTCTTCGTTTGAGATACGTTGGAAGCTAGAACAGTGACAAGCATGGCTTCTAGGGGACAGTCTTGCGCAGCATGGTGCGGCGCAGTCCTGGGTTATTTTCGTGAGCACCTCTTTCTCACTGAGACTGAGGGCCTGACCGGAGCGTTTCCACCAAGCAGATGAGAGCCAGCTGCATCTCTGGCCCCCTCTGTGTCTGCAGGGAAGGTGCCCAGCCTCCCTGGGCTTTGCTCTCCACCGGTGAAGCAGGTAGTGCCCCCTGGCGCTGCTCTGCTCCTGTGAGTTTAGGATTCCTGGGAGGGAGGCTGTGGCCACCGCTGCCTAGCTGTGCGACCTCGGGACAGTCACTCAGCATCCCTGAGCCAACCTTCGTTTCTTCATTTGAGAGCAGCTAACACACCTGCTTTTGAAGGTTCAGCCACGTGACATAATCGTAGTTACGGCTCCTGTGGACGGAGCAGGCCGGCCACTGCTGTATTCTAGCTCTCATAGCCACCCACCGCCATCGAGTCAGCTCGGACCCGGGGGCTTCACAGGGCGGAGGACAGGTCCACGCAGGAGCAGACAGCCTCCTTTCTCCCACCGAGCAGCTGGCAGGGTCAGACATCAAGGTCAGCGGCCCCACAAGGAACCAACCCAGGCTGTGACCTGAAAATCCACAACCCCGCTGCCCTCTTGTTGATTCCAACTGATAGCGACCCCACTCAGAGCTTAAGCGGCTTCGGAAAACTTTGCAGGAACAGAACAGCCTCCGTGGTCTCCTCTGGGAGCGGCTGCTGGGTTGGAAGGACCGGCCTTGTGGTTAGCAGCCCGTCCAGGCCACCAGGACTCTGTCCATCTCACAGGCATCCCGCCCTGTAGCTCTTGGCCTCCCAGATAACCTGCTGCGGAAGGTGTGGCTCGGCCACCAAGGCACCAGCCCCAGGGCATTCAGCTTGGAAAGGCAGAGCTGGCCCTCGGGTCTGACTCCTGCCACGTATCGCTGGGACAGTCAGTCCCTGGGTTAGGTTGAACCGTTAGGTTGAACTGCTCTGAGATTGAACTGTCCCATAGTCCCCAAGGCAATCTATCTTGACAGATAGAGACTGCCACATTTCTCCTCCACCAAATGGTTGGTAGGTTTGAACCACTGACCTTTTGGCTAACAGCTGAGCACTTAACCACTGTGCCAGCAGGGTTTCACAGCCATCGAGTCTACTCTGATCCACGTGACCCTCTCTAGGGTCAGGCTTTATGGGAGCAGACAGCTTCCTCTTTCTCCTAAGAACAACGGTGAACTAAGAGCCGGACGCTCCTGTTCCCACGTAGACACACAGCAGTGGATATAACTCACTTATAACTCAGGTATGGAGTGTGTATTGGACATAGAGAAGAACTGACCCCCGTGTCAGTTCCTGTCTCACTCTCCTCAAGGAGAGGGGCCGAGCGATCCCCCTCCAGGATGGTGGCCTCCTCTGTTTAACCACTTAGCGTCAAGTCCTGGTACACAGCAAGGTGCCGGGGAGGTTGGCTCAGTTGAATTGATTGCTTCTCCTCTTAAGGCTGCAGGACAAATGATCTGGTTCATCGCACAGCTTCTGAGTGGGACCCAAGCTGCCCTGGTGACCTGGGCCATATGTAGTATCATGATGGAAAATTCACCTTACCCACGACAGGCTGTGCAACCTTGGGCAGGTGACTCCACCTCACTGGTCTCAGCTTCCTTATTCATAAAATGCAGATGATGATGGTGGTCGTCCCTACCTCAGGCTGACCCAGGGATTAAAGGAGAAAACTCACAGAGTGCTGAGCACAGCTGTCTGCTGGACTAGCCCTTGGCCTGACTTCTGTTGCTTCCTCCTGGTGGAAGCAAGCAATTACCCGAACCACCAGGCTGCAGGCCACTGCCTCCAGGCCCCTCCTGGTGAGGAGACTTCTCCTTGACTCTCAGTTGGATGTTGGCGGAAAGCAGAGAATATCAGAAAGATGTTTACTTGTGTTTTTTTGACTATGCCAAGGCATTTGACTGTGTGGATCATAACAAATTATGGATAGCCTTGAGAAGAATAAAAAGTCTAGAACACTTCATTGTGCTCATGTGGAACTTGTGCATAGACCAAGAGGCGGTTTTGAGAACAGAACAAGGGAGTAAGTACTACTTTATTTAATATAAAGAAAGGTGAGTGTCCGGGTTGTGTCCTTTCACCATACTTATCCACTCTGTATGCTAAACACGTCATCAGAGAATCTGGATTATCTGAAGAAGAACGCAGTATCAGGGTTGGAGGAAGGCTTATTAACAACCTGCGATATGCAGATGACCCAACTTTGCTTGCTGAAAGTGAGGAGGATTTGAAGCATCTTTTAATGGAGATGAAGATTGCCGCCTTCTGTATGGATGGCAACTCATTCGAGAAGACCCAAATCCACACGACTGGATGAGTATGTGACGTGATGAGTGGAGACAAGATAGAAGTTGTCAAGGACTTCATCTTGCTTAGATCCACAATCGATACTCGGGGAAGCAGCAGTCGAGAGACCAAGGGACACACTGCATTGGGTAAATTGACGACGATGACGATGGAAGACGTCTTTAAAACAAGGGTGCTACTTTGAGGACTAAGGTGCGCCTGACCCAAGCCGTGGCATTTTTCAGTTACTTCACCTGCATCTGGAAGTTAGACGTGGACCAAGGAAGACCGGAATTGATGCATTTGAATTGTGGGTGCTGAGAGATCATGGCATACCGCGGGTGGCCCGAAGAAGCAGCGAATCTGCCTCGGTAGATGTACAGCTAGAGTGCTCCCTAGAAGCCAGGTTGTTGAATCTGCCTTGGTAGATGTACAGCTAGAATTGTTTAGACTTCATCTCACACACAGGACTTATCCGGAGAGACCCATCCCTGGAGTCCACTTGCTTTAGACACGATGGATTGACCCAGCGGCTGCAACAGGGGGCTCCCACATAGGAATGATTGTGAAGATGGCGCGGGACTGGGCAATGTGTGGCTCTCTTGCACACGGTCACGAGGCATCGCTATGTGTCGGAACTGACTTGACAGCACCTTGGTATCCAGGTCAACTCCCATTCTGACCAGCAGAGGGCTCTTGACTACTGGGTTCTATCCAGAAGTACCCAGTAGCACTGTTGGGACATCAAGTCTTTCCAGAGGCGGAGGCCCAGGGACAGTGAGGAAGGACTTGCCTAAGGTCTCCAGGCCCCTGGACCAAGCAAGGGCAAGAGCCCACGTTGGCCAGCACTCTGCTCCTCTCTCGCACTGGTCGCTGTGGGCTCTGCCACAGAGGCGTCTTCTCACGCACCCAGGGTCAACCTCTGCAGAGGCACCAGGGTGTGCTGCTAGATCGCTAGGAGAGGACAGGGCTTGACTGTCCTCACTCTACTTGTGGGGGTCATTCGAGCCACAAGAGCGCCAGGCATTTGAAAGAGCGGGACACTCTCCTGACCTGCAGCTAGATGGTTTACCGTGAGACCAGAGACCCTAACTCCTGTGAGCGCCTCTGTGTGGGGCCCTGGTGTGGAAGGATACGGAGAGAAGCTACCTGCAACCTGTTTCCCAGCAATCCAAATCCCACCCCAAGGTTCCTGGTAGACCAGAGACCGAGCTCCAAGGAGGGAGCACCAGGGGTCGTGGGGGGCAGGCTTGTGGCCAGGTGAATGGAGTGTGTGTGCTGGTGGCATTTATGGGAGGCTCTGATGTGCCCCAAACTGGTCCAGAGGCAGAAGACGCCTTGGTGGTGCTGAAGGTGGTCATTATTTGGGGTGGGGGTGGGAGGGTGCACAGGGGTCAGGAGCTCAGGTTTGGGCCTGATGGACAGGGAAGATAGCAAGGAGCAAGAGTTACCCAAGCTTCCGTTGGGCTTGGTGGAGGGATTTTAGGCCTTTTGGGTATGATCAGGGGATGCAGAAGAGTTGAGAGGAGAGGCTGAGACTGAAGAGAAAGATGGCCCAGGGTGGGAGGTGGGGGTGGGGGGCAGTGATGGTCTTTGAGAAGAGGGCCATGGAGGGGCCATATTCCCCTGTGTCTCGAGCTGGCACCATATGGACAGGAACGAGCCAGCTCTTCTGGACCGTGGTAGAAGCTGGGCAAGCCCCATAGGACAATAACCACAGTGCAGCAAAGCTCCATGATGGCCAGTAGATGGGGGTAGGGCCAAGCCTTTCTGAACAGCTAGCGGTAGACACAGCTCAGGTGGGCAGATTCCAGGCCTGGTGAAAGAGGGCCAAACACCTATACCCATCATCACCAGATGCACAGAACTTGGAAGCTGGCGGCCAGGAGCTAAGGATTCTAGGAACAGATCAGGAAGGAAAGTGACAGGCACCCATGAAGTTGGCGAGGAGGTCAGACAGATCTCCTTGTAGGTGATGGGAGTGTCCGGAGGCCAAATTGACTGGGCTGGTGGAGTCCAGGAGAGAAGCGGGGGCCTTGAGGCTCGGAGGGTAGGGTACGAAGCTGATTGAGCCCCAAAAGGAGCTCGTTCGGACGTTGGGGCCATTTCAAGGCATGGTATCTAGAGAATAGTGCTTCTGGGATACTGCGGGGGCCAGGCTGGTGGGAGCTACCCTCCAGAAACTGCCGGCTCAGAGAGATGGCAGGCGGCTCCTTTCCCAGCTGACCTGATAGTGCGAGGGGCCCACCCCAAGAAGCAGTGAGCTCTAGACCACCCACTTGGTTCTGCAAGAGATCATCTCAGAAAAGGACTCTGGTCCTGTCAGTCTCCCCAGTGGTGTGGGTAGGAGCAGACCTGGGGGATCAGGTGAGTCATCAGCCCTGCCAGCCTCTGCTTCTGCCTTCCAGCGCTTACCACGGAAGCCATGCACCGGTCCCTCTTCATGTCGGCCTTGTCCACGCACCCCGACCGTTCCCTCTCTGTGTGCTGGGAGCAGCACTGCAAACTCCTGCCCGGAGTGGCGGGCATCTCAGCCTCGGCGGTGGCCAAGTGGACCATCGATGAGGTGAGGAGTGCGGGGCACTTGCTCTTCTGCTTGTCCTCCACCTCCCGACCCCCCCTGGTGCGGGGGGGCTCAAGAGGGGCCCTCTGGCAGAGCCTGAGACAACCGCCAGCTCAGCTCGGCAGTCCACAGCGCCTTCCAGCTACCCGGTGGGGGCTGCTGGCTGAGGAGTGGGGCGTGCTGCCCTCACTCAGCTGCCATCGAGCGGATGCCGGCTCACAAGGACCCTAGAGGACAGCGTAGAACTGCCCCTGGGAGTTTCTGAGCCTGTGACTCTCCATGGGAGTAGAAAGCCTCATCTTTCTCCTCCGGAGCGGCTGGTGGTTTCAAACTACGGACTTTATGGTCAGCAGCCCAACGTGTAGTCACTCTGCCACACCCCTGAGTGTGCTGCTAGTAGCTGGAAATCCAGCGGGGAGACTAGCCCCAAACTCAGCCCCCGCCCACCCCCCAGACATAGGAACCTCTTCCCCAGCCCCAGCCCCTTAACAACATGTTCTGTTTGGTTCCCAAGGTCTCCGGCTTTGTTCAGACTCTGACGGGTTGTGAGGACCAAGCGCGACTCTTCAGAGATGAGGTAAGGAGCACATGCAGAGTGGGAGACAGATGGGGGGTCTGTGCCCCACCAGCTCTGTCCCCACCTGGATGAGACGAGTCAGAGTAGCCCACCTTCCTGGGGGGAGGTCTGGGTGGCGATCACCCTGGGGCAGAGACACGCTCAGGGAGACGGAATTGTGTTCCTTCTTCAGTCCTCTGGCCCCGTCTTTTGTCCTCCACCAGCAGAGTCCCTCTGTCACTACCATTGATGGAGTCGATGTCGACTCCTGGTGACTATAGGACAGGGCAGAACTGCCCCCTGAGTTTCTGAGACGGGAACTGTGTACCGGAGTAGAAAGCTCATCTTGCTCCCGAGGAGCGGCTGGTGGTTTCGAACTAAGGACTTTTTGGATCACTAGGGACTGCGTATTTGAAAGCCTCTTTTGAGTACATCCTAGCACGCCCTGACAGATCAGGACCCAAGCATTACCAAAGATAAGCGGCAGAGAGTTGTAGCTGAAAGAAGGCTGGTTTCGGTGAGTTTGGGTTCAAACACCAGCTCTGCCAGTTTCCACTGTCCACCGTCTCTTGGCCTGGGAATTTTAACTGGAAAAAAAAAAAAAAGGAGCTGTAAGGAGCCCTGGTGGCGCAGTGGTTAAGCGTCCCACTGCGAACTGAAAGGTTAGCAGTTAGAACGTACCCAGCAGCCAACCTGGGAGAAAGAGCAGGTGTGTAAAAGACGGGGAGGAAGACCTTCTGTAAAGATGCCCCCGGAGAAAACCCTGAGGGGCAGTTCCGCTCGGCCACGTGGCCTTGCTCCCAGTTGAAACCAACTAAGTGATACCTAGTCACAACGGGTCTGGTGATGGCCAACGGCAGAGCCCCTGCCAGCCTCGATGGCGTCCTGACTCCCGCGTCCGCGTCATCGCCGCCCTCCTGTGTACGACTAGGTGGCACACATCATCCCGCCACCGCGTACTAACCCTCGTTGTCACTCAGTGGGAGCCCGGGGACGGCTCCTCGACTTACGTGCCAATATAACTGCTAGTTTTTTTTAAATCGTGAGGTTTGTCACAAGCGCCTCATCATAAATCCTTACGAGTGAGAAACAATGGAATCTATCAGTGTTTTCATATAAGATCAACAAGAGTTTGAGATTTATAAAAAGAAGCAAAGACTGAGTCCAGTGGCTAAAATCACCTTATCGTGCTCACCATGGGTTTGGGGGCGTGGGGGGGTTGTCCATTCCGGCCACTGTGTGTTGGGGATTCTGTGCAGGCTCACCCGGTGGAGTGACCCTGGATGTGAACTGTGAACCACTGAGTTGTGTGCTATGCTCATTGCAGCTCAGTAAACAAGACAGAAACAAAGTCACGGTGACTCTAGTTTGTCAATGCAGACCCAGTGCCACTGAGATCATTCCAAGGCCCAGCAACCCTGTAGGACAGAGTAGCGCTGCCCCTCGGGTCCCCAAGGTGGGCGGTACCTACTTGTCATCTTTCTCCTACGGAGCAGCTGGTGGTTTTGAACCACTGACAATTCCAGGTCTCCGCCAGTTGCTTAACCAGTGAGCCACCAGAGCTCCGCTTCTTAATGCGTAATAACAAGTCAACCCTACTGCCACGGAACGGATTCTAACTCACAGCCACCCTAATAGGATATGTTGTTACAGCCTCCTCTTCCTCTCACTGGAATGCACAGTGGTCCTTAAATAAGAGAGGCCTTGATCATGACTCTTCTGCACCAACAGGGAGACCCAGCATCTCCTCCGCGCAGGAAGGTGTGTGCTCAGCTGCCCACCGCTCCCAGGCTAGGTCAGATGGCAGCCTCAAGTCTGCCACCCTTTCCTGGAAGGGATCTCACCCAGGCAGGGTAGCCGATGCCCTCAGCTAGTCCTCTCCCGGGCTCCTCACCGGCCCTTCCGGGGTCTGGCCACCTTCAGCGAGGTCTGTGTTCCAGCTCCTTCTCACCAACCACGCCCTGCGCCATGGTCCCCTCGATGCGTTCAGTTGAGGCGAAGTATACAGAGTGAAATATACAGATCTTAGTAACACCGTCTGCAAGTTGTGTCCATGTGCAGGCTCTGGACCCAACCCGTCCACCAAGATGCACAACGTCCCCGCAACACCAGAGCCCGTTCTTCTCGGAGCCTTTGACCGAGCCCCAGCCCCACGGACAACTCAGTCTTGCCTTTTCTGGAACTCATGTAAACAGAACCACACAGCAGGCGTTAGGCTGGTGGCCTGTCTTGTTTTCACTCCCCGTGTGGTTCTTGCGGTTCATCCGTGTCGTGTGGACGGCGGGCCGTTCTGTGGGGTGTTTTGTGGTCTGACTGTGCCCTCACAGACTTCTTGCGCATGGATATTCAGGTGGCTTTCTCTTGCCCTTGCTTAGAGCACTGCTTTTTTATTAGCGAGGCCTGTGTGTGCGCTCGCTTGAGGACAGCCACACGCTGCCCCCGTGGGGGCTTCATGAAAGCCTGCCCCAGCGCTTTTAACGTCAGCTGCAGGCGGAATTTCCCAGCGTGTACCTGTACCACCGAGTTTGCATTTCAGAGCATAATGTAAAACGGTACACGGATCCCTATTAAATGCGATCTTGTTGGTCCCGCCGTCTCGTTGTTTTAAATCGCGGTTCTGTCATCGGTGCTGTTCACCAGCCTTTGTGTCTCAGCCATGTCTTCAGCATGCATGTGTCATGAGACGGACCAGAGCTCTGTGACTCTATCAGAGAGTCTCCTTACTTAGGCTGGCAACAGGCCACACGTGGAGTCTCTTGGAGTGCAATTGACACAGCCGGCTGTGTAGCCACCAAAGCGCTTGGTCCACCAGCCCTGCCCTGGGATGGAGAAGGGCCACATCACCCCAGAACATCTGCTTCTTTTCTTAGTTCAGCATGGTCTGCCCATGATAGAAATAAGCAACCACTGAAGGGGCAAGGGCTCGGGGGTGGCACTGACGGGCTGCTGGCATCACAGGGGATCTCAGAGGGAATCTGGCCCCTGGTGGGGGTGAAGGATCCTTTTCCCAGGATCCATTTCTCCAGATGGGACCAGGCTGTCCCCTGCCTCCCTCACCCATGTCCCTAGGCCCATGCAGCATTTCCTACCCTGGCTCTTCATCTCTCTGCTCAAGCTCCGCCCCAGCCTGTACCCCAGGCCCTATAGTTCCGACTACCAGCAGCTTCCACTCTGTTTCCCCTCTTTCGGGGAGGAAGTATTTTTCAGTGGATTAAAGTCATCCCCACGCTGCACCTCTGAGTACTGCGGACAAAACCAAGCTCACTGCCACTCCGGCGCCCACCCCCTCAAACAGAACAAAACAAACTCACTGCCGTCGAGTGGATGATAACTCTTGTGACCCTGTAGGATAGGATAGAACTGCCCCTGTGGGTTTCCAAGATCATATGTTTTCAGGGGAGTAGAAAGCCCATTTCAAGAGAGCAAAGCAGCTAGTGGTTTCGAACTGCCGACCTTGTGGTTAGCGGGCCAGCTGGTAACCCACTACATCACCAGGGTGCCTCAGGTACTTGAGCAGGTGTGCCTGAAACCTAACCACAATATCATCATCCTACCTACCAAATTGCCCGGAACCTCTTGAGACCCTTGAGTCCTAGGCCTAGATTGGAAGTCCCAGACTAGCTTTTGCAGTTGGTGTGTTTTAAACCAGGATCCACGCTGCTTTCTGTTTCTTAAATATCTTCTAATCTAGGAAGTCTCTTTTCATTTTTCTTTTTCCTTTTCTCTCGACAAAGAGAAAGGTCTTCCATAACGTGCTTGTCCTGTGGCTTCCCTGCGGTGCCCTGTATCTTGTCCCTCCACCAGGAAAACAGACCCAAAGACTTAGTTAGAGAGCTTCAACCTCAATCTTGCTACCTACCTCTCTGCCTCTCTCTCGGTCAAGAGCAGCCGCCCAGGGGTCACCTGTGGACTTGGTGTTACGTCACACCGGCATGCGGACAGTGTTGGCTGGTCCCACTCTGAGCGACACTAAGCTTGACTGGTGGGCCTGTGTGGGGACAGTCACAGCAGGCTTCCTGAAGCTGCTGTCAGTAAGGACTCCTGTAGGCATTTTGCCCATAGAAACACTGACTTTCAGAGGCCTGCGTGCGAGCGTGCGTGCGGACCAGGGGAAACCAGTGGATATCTTTCTTTCCTTCTCTGTCCCCACTGCTGTCTTGCTTTTTTCCTTTCTCCCTCCCTTCTCCTTGACCCTTGCCTTCCTCCCCGCCTCCCACACGTATCCTTAATTTCCAATTCATGGTCCTCTCTTCCTCTCCACTCCCCACGCATCTCCCCGCCCCGCCTTCTGCCCTCTTGGCCCCTCCTACCTTCTCCGCTGTCCCCTCCCTGCCCCGCCCCCTCAGATGATTGACGGCGAGGCCTTCCTTTTGCTGACACAGGCGGACATTGTGAAGATCATGAGCGTCAAGCTGGGACCAGCCTTGAAGATCTATAACTCCATTCTCATGTTCAAAAACGCCGATGACACCTTCAAGTGACCGACGCGGCTCGGGCCAGGCCCTCCTCCGCTGCCCTCTGGAGACGATGGCTTCACACATCCCATCCGAGCACCCCCACCCCCATCCATGCCTGCCTCCCACCTGACTTGGTCTCCTCTCCAGGGCTGCGTCCTAGAAGGCGCATGGGAGCAGAGGAGACCCGGGAAGGGGCAGTCGTAGGCACTGAGCCCTGCGGAAGGCTCGCGGCCAGCAGCCCCAGAGGTGAGGCAGCAGTGGGGCACAGGGAGCATTACTGACGGAGAAAGTGGGCAGCGCCCTGCCAGTGGCAACCCCCCCATCTCTAGCTGCCTTGTTTCATTGCCACAAGGCTTAGCGGTCAAGGACGATGTGGTAGAGCCAGAGCCCTCTGACCAAGGCCCCGTTCTCCTATTCTTTCCTTTCTCCTTCCTCATCCCACCAGCCTCCTTCCTCTCCGCCTGCTGGTGTTGCTGCCATCGATCGGCCTGGTCCCTTAGCCAGACCCCTCGGAGACTGTTCTCATAGCCTCCATGGGCTGTCTCTGGCTGGGCCGGGATGCTTTCTTAGGCATGCCCAGCGCTGGACCCTGGGCACTGTAGCGTCCCATGCCAAGTTCCAGTCGCAGGCAGCGTGGGTAAGCAGAGTTGGCTTTGCAGGTGGCAAAGTTTGGGAATTCCACAAAGGAGACACACGCCCTTCCTGTGTAGGTCTGGGGAGGAGAGGCTAGATTGGTCACCAGGCCAGGAGACCAGCCGCAGGATACATCGCATACTCTCTGGGGCTCTGGACCAGAGATAGCTCCCATGGGCCTGGCGGCTCCCAGTGCTGGGCATAGCCTCCCACTCCCGAGCCAAGGATCCCCGCCCCAAGAGTCCTCCAGCAGGGGAGAAGGGTCCCAGGTGGACCAGGCCTACGGTCATAAGAATGTAGTGCTCTGTCTAGCAGGCACGCACCATGAGGTCACATTTGACCTGTCCCTTAAATGTCCACTGCTTATCCTTGAGAAATTGATGAAGACTTGAGGTTGGGCGTCAGGAAGGTGAGCATCTTCTATCTGAGTCCCCCAGCTCCCTTACAGCCCTTTTCCCCACTCCTCATCAGTCTTGCACTGCCACCCAAGTCCCTGCTGGGCCTGGGACTTGGGCTTTCTATCCTAGTGGGGAACCCAGTCTCCACTGAGCCACTGCCAAACCTGCTTCCCAGGACCCC